GAGAGAGAGAGCGAGAGAGCGAAAAAGAGAGAGAGAGCGAGAGAGCGAAAAAGAGAGAGAGAGCGAGAGGAAGACGAGGAGGGAAGAGGGAGAGCGGGACAGAGAGTGAGAGAGTCAGGGAAAAAGCGAAAGAGAGAGGTGAAGGTCGTCCCTGTCTCATTCTCAATAAATCATGCATAGTTGTAATTTCAGACTCACGTAGCTGCAGTTGTGCAATCACACATATTTACAGTTCTAGTCTCACAGCTCTGCAATCCAGAATTCTACTTACACATAACTATAGCCCTAATCATGCAAAGCTATAGATAGTTCTATTCATATGTAGCTGTAGTACATACCTACATATAAACGAATCACCCCTACTATACACAGCATGTGTGACCCGCTTTAGCATAATACGGACTAAGTCGCAAGTCATTGTTTTGAGTAATGAGCACGCACACATGTCAATGCTGAAAATGGCCTACCTAGACAAAAATGATTTTTTCAAAATAAGTTCCTAAGTGCATATTTAATCCGGATATATAGGTTTAGATATCTCTAGATTATTATGGTCATTTTTAATTTTAAAAAAACCCCTTCAGACCAGCCCCTGACCGCTTATCCCCGACTGGGCCCCTTACCCGGACCGCTTTATCTCAAAAGCTGCATATTCCGGAATAAGTCGGTTTCAGATCTTCAAATTGCTGTAGATCGGTCAATTCTTTAGATATAGCCAAATATTATATATCATTTTAAAGGTAATTAAATGATCTATTCAGATATGCACATAACTCAATTTGTAGAATTTCCTACTTAATCCTGATTTTGCTGGAGCGGGTCACATATATCATCATACATATACACGGTACACACGGCTATAGAAAGTTCTGTCACACACAGCTATAGACCTTGTATACTCATCTGTATACAGATACCTGTATACTGTAAACACATCCATTCGCTGTACACTACATGTGCCTACATGGATTTTCTACTATTAATGCAAACGTAGACGTGACCCATAGCTACACTACAGAGTCCTAGTCACACATAGCAATGGAATCTACATACTACATGTCACACTTGACTCCCATATTAAAAATTTTAATGAGCCCCCCAGATTTTAATTGATCCCCTAGATTAGCCCCCCCAATCCCTTCAGATCTTAATTTGTAGAGGAGTGACAATAGAGATGTATAAATAAACATGTGAAAAAATATATATATAAAAAATAAAATAATACTATTTATATATCTCTATGGGAATGACAAGCGCAATAATCTGTGGCAGTATGGGTACGGTGATTCTCTCCAGCGTGCACCACATCTCACAGACCTTTGACAGACGACTCATCTGGTCGGTGCCGCCAGCGCTGCGGCCCGGGGTGGACGTCGGATCCATGCCATCGGCCTCCTGTCCCGGCCACACCTTCAGATCATACATGCCCTGCCTGAACGTGCTGCGCAGAACACAAGAACATGCGACAGAACAAACAACGCCACCTATCATAAAAATCTACACGTGGAAAACGACTGTAAATTTAACCTTGCTTCGAAGATTAGAGGGCATGGGGACAAAAATATGTGTGCCGGGGGTCGAAATAAGCGATGGTCCGAAGCCATCAAATAATCAGGAGGACCATTAGATTTTCAAAGTCAATGGTCCGACAAACCATTGAATATTTTGGTCCCATTTTAGAGTAATTCTTTTTGAAGTTTCTACGTTCCAATATACTATTAAAGTGAATAAACAATCACTGTATCGTTTCATACATTCATTGTTATGTAGGTGAATAATTAAACCATTTTATCACCATGTAAAATCTCTTTCTTACGCTTGAACGCCGCATTACTTTTAAAGAACAATTTGAAATTTAGGAGGACTATCTAAATTTCAAACTAGATGGTCCTGTGGACCATCTCTTTTTTTCTCCTTATTTCTACCCCTAGTGTGAGATGTAAATTACGTAATAGGCGAGTTAAACTACTGTTGCAGATAACAGATTTAAGACTGATGAGATATCTCTAGCAAACAGCTTCATAGAAGTAACCCCGATCATTTCATTCTAGTGGTTTTTTTTTTCAAGGGAGCTCTTTTTCAAGTCTGTGGAAAAATAGCTCTGGACAAAAATTTTACGGGAGCTATTTTGAGCCTCACGGGAGCGATTTCTGAGGTTTGAAGAGCGAATCGCTCATCGCTCCCGTGTATTTTTTTACCCTGATCTAGATGCTTAATATTGACAAACCTAAATACAGGACATGCCCCATTACATTATCAATATAATATGAATTACTATTATTATGAAGTCTAGATATAGTATTAGAATATCTACACATGTACCTCTAATGCAACAGTTACTGCAAGTGAAACAAGTTGTACACACTAACGTCTTCATGCTAAAATCCTATTACAAATATTATTAAATATTTTTTAATATTTTAAATAGGCCTACATTTAATATCTTATATTTTGGCATACCCATGCTTCCCGAAGACGGAGATGGTGGTGCCACCTACAGGAGTCTCTCGGCAGGGGCCATAGATGTCCCATATTGTCAACGCAAGCTGGGCGTTTCTTGGTAGGTCGCTGTATTTTAGTGGTAGCGTAATCCACTCATTCCAGCTGTCAGAAATGTAAAAATGCCCCACAATTAGCTAGAAGTCAGATAAGATTACATGAGCACACTCGCTTTAAGCATGGGGGTAAACAATTCCTACAAGCTGTTTGTGACCCACAATCGATAGTCAACCTATCAAACCCCTTATAAATACATTTATAGGTCAATCTAGTGACAGCTTGAGGGTTCAGTAATATTGTAACACATCAGCAAGGAAAGGGGTGTGCGGCATCAAGAGTACATAATAGAGACATACATAATATCTCAGGTACCTCATATCTCATAGTATCTCATAGTATCTCATAGTATCTCAGGTACATAATATCTCTATTATGTCCTCTTGGCGACATCCATTTCCCCTATTGCTGACAAGTACGTCAATGTAGTCAACAATTCATCTAATGATAGCTACCATATTCCTAATGTCTTGATAATACAAACTATTGCCTTTGGATTTCTTTACTAAATAATATGTGGAGTGATAACATTTGCCTATACTATAAACAAATGCACACTCGATCAGGGTTCGAGTACATAATTGATTGTTTGCTACACATAATAACAGCAGTAATGTACTTTTGTGGTTTCGTTAAAGCCTAGAGCAGGGTTTCTGAACCTGGTGTCCATGGACTCCTTTGGGGTCTGTGGATGGCCTTCACTCCCTTCAGGGGGTCTGTGAACCACGCGCATAAAAATTTTATGTTTATGTGCTTATGTGCATTTTCTGGGGAGGGGTCCGTAGCTTTCACCAGATTCTCAAAGGGGTCCATGACTCAAAAAAGGTTAAGAACCACTGGCCTAGAGCTAAAACCAACATGTATAATGTGGAAGATGATAATCTTAGAATGCTTCGATGAGGATGCTCACTTCCATCGCGTCGTGAAGTTCTTGTAGGCGGTGCGCGTGGGCAGCACCAGCGGCCGGTTGTCAGCAAACACCTGACAGGTCACGTAGAGGTCAGAGCAGCCCTCCTCACAGAGCCCCGAGTAGCGCAGCAGGTTCTTGTCCAGCAGGTCCTGATAGCTGGGTCTCTCTCGCACACCCTCGAGAGTCCCGCTGTGTTGTCATGCACAGGTATTTTTTTAAGGTCGATGCAGTGAGAATACATGTGAGAACTGGTGTAGTTTATGAACAAAATAACACTGAAGTATACAACGTATGATTATGAACAAGTTTATAATGAGGGTTGTCCCATAATGTTTACACAGTTGCCGAGAGTAAAGGTAGCGTATAGACTATATAGTTTATTAGATATTAATTATTATATCTGACTCGCAGCAAGTTTTCCTAACAATATTATTAAATTATTAACAATAACACATCATCACATCATAGTGGGTATACAGTAAGCTGCGCACATGTGCTAGGTTACATGTTTTATACTAGAAGATAGTAACTTTTGGTCTAGTACTAGTAGTAGTTATAAATTAAGTAATACCAATAATATTAACAAGACTGTGATCATGGATTATTACGCTGTCACTGTACAGGCCTAAGTGTAAATCAAAATATATACAGAAAAGCTAGGTAACGATGCCTACATTTTGATCTGCACATTCACATCGAGATCGCAGCTATGCACATAGAAAAACTTGTCTGTATGATTCGTAGTCATGTTTCTCATATTCTTCACCATGATACTGATTACTGTTAGCGTCTGCGTAGAGAAACCTATGAGTATGAGTGTAAATTTACTGTTTCTCGATTACATGTTGATGTTTTCATTCGTGTAGACGCGTGTTCACTTGTTTTCCATTTGGCAGCACTGTCCACTGTGCATAATTGTAAATAATCCATGATGAACGTACAAGACACACGCAGTATAAATCATGACTTCTGTAACTTTGGTTAATACCTGTAGGCTATTGCTTAGGCAAGCGAAAAACAGCAAGGTTAGTTGCTCACTTACAATCAATCTTTAATGCATGAAGTCGTGATTGCCGTTATACTACACGTGACCTAAAAACTAAGGGTTTTTAGTCCGCGACCTAAAACTAAACCCTAAAAATAACGTGTATCTAACTTAGTAACTATCAATCATAATTCATATATAACTAAATTCGACAATTTTCGTCAGGTTTCTGGCACTCACCATTCAGGATGCTTGCCGAGGTTGGCGTCTCTCCACCACCAGCGACATCAGTCAACAACAACCGTCACTTTGATCCCAGGGGATGGTGTTGGCCCAGAGCTGATGGACTCTGTACAAACAGTGTTCAAGCAGATGGCCATCCCAATTGAATGGGAAGAGTTATTCGTTAGGTATATAAACTGTCATTCCTGCCGACCATTTAATTTGTGCCGAAAAGGCCGATTGGAGGTAGTCCTTAGTCCTGTCCCACTCTCTGCACTCATTAAGGCTTAGAAGCAGAAGAAGAAAAAGAAGGAAGAAGATGATAACAAAATAATGAATAAAAAGTAGTAATGAATAAAAAGTAGAAGATGATTGAGCATATTTAGTAGAGGACAGGGAAGTGACAGTAGCTGTAGTGAAATTAGTAGATGAGATGTGTGTGACAGCAGGGTTGGCAGGAAGGTGAATGCAGGAAAAGAACTGAAGCAGGAGACAGCAAAGGCCTACTGCATTGTAATAAGTAAAAGAAATGCAGGGTGAGGCATAGGTAACTTTTTCAGAGGCAACCGATATTTCCAGATAAAATTTGCCGTAGCATACTCAAGTCACTCTTGTTCTTCTTCCTTAATTCTCATCCTATGTACTGTTCCAACTCCCGGCCGGGTCATACCAAAGATATGGCCTCTCTGCTTAGCATTCAGCAAATAGAGATAGAGTGTGGCAAGTTAACTCGCAGTGCTACCAGTGTACTAACCCCCTACTGTAGCATTTACTGTGAAAGCAGCTGCAGGGCCTCGGGGTTACTGAAACGGAGATAGGCACCGCCCTATGCGCCATGTAGCCTTACGCTATGCGTATGAAGGCGCGGGAAGGATTAACTTTTAATGTACTGTTCCTGGTCATCCTTGTCCATGTTTTTTTTTGGCCCCCAACTTGCTCTACCTTGCTTCACCTCACAATCAATACTCTCCAGATCTTTTACTTTCCCCAATCCCCAATCATCCTGTAGTTGCCCTTCTATTCATTTCTACTTTATCTACTTCTCTCACCATCCTTTCTCCTTCATTCTCTTAGTAAGATTACGTTGAGGGGAACACACATGCATGTACTTGATAATTGGCCAACGTTACCTGAACCATATCTAAGCAGAATTTCAGAGAAATAATGCTTAAAATATAATTATGAGAAGGTTAGATGGACACTGGTATTACTGCTCATCAAATTAGTAACACTTGGAAACTAGATATCCATTGCATTTTTAAATTCCTTGTAATCAATGTATATAATAATTCGCATAAAAAAACATCCCGCGTCATAATTTTATTGCTCGTATGTCATCGCTTTAATGTAAGTTACTGTAATCGCATGAATGCAATGTTATTTTCTCACATAGTGAGATTCACAAGTCGAGGATGGTGAGCTTGGAGGAGGTGGTAGCGTCGATCAAGCGTAATGGCGTCTGCTTAAAGGGAGTCATCTCCTCCCCTCACCGTGCTGACTATGGGGAGCTGCAGTCAGTCAACATCAAGATGAGGTGAGAAATAGGAGCAGCTATGCTGTGTGAGTTGCCTCTAAGAGGGGGGAACAGGGGAGTACATTCCCACTTTCCCAGCAAAAATCACCCCATATCCAAGTTCCCAGTAAAATAAAATCCCAATTCCCAGTTCCCAGGAAATTATGTAGACATGTTTCAGGAAACTTAGTAGTTTAGGTTTTCAAACACTACATAAATACTAATATTTACATACTATTATTTATCTGGGGTCTACATCAATCTTCTGGCTAAAAATAAAATATTAGCGCAGAAATTGAAATCCCGACAAATTGACACAATTTTCCCAAATCCCAGACAATTTTAGAGGGTCTTTCCCACGTCCCGATGTACTTCTGTTCCCGAATCACGGAAAATTTATCTGACATTTCCCAGTTCCCAGGCGTGGCCAATCCCGCGTCCCAAAAATATCCGTTCCCCCCTCCTCTAAGCATCTGCATACGTTCACAGTGTACTTGTAGCCGCCCCTCATCAATAACTCTACTTCTCTACTTGTAAAATAAGTCTACTTCCTAGACTGTGAAAGCACTCAGAAGTAGGTTGGCTGTTACCATAATACATATAATATTTATGTGTATAGGTATGTTCATGCTGGTGTGCGATCTTTCACTCATTCCTGAACTATCTTTGAACATAGGAATATCTATATTGCGACTAGGTCGTATATTTTGGTAGATCGGCCATGGTTCCAGTTTCCTTGATTTTACACTGTTTGCAGGCGAGCGCTAGATCTGTTTGCAAATGTTGTGCATGCAAAGAGCATTCCCGGGTTCCCGACGCGGCATGAGAACCTGGACTTTGTTATCATTCGAGAGCAGCTGGAGGGAGAATATTCGGCGCTAGAGCACGAGGTAAGTGTGTATACTAGCTTTCAAGTTGTTGATCAAGTCAAGTAGTATGTAGACATACACATTCTGTTGTTGGCAGTTATTTGAGAGTGTATCTCTGACTCTGTGGTTTCTGCTGGCTCAGAGTGTTCCAGGAGTAGTGGAAAGCTTAAAGATCACTACTAGGGAACGATCCTATCGCATAGCCAAGTTTGCATTTGACTACGCTGTAAAACATGGCCGCCGAAAAGTTACAGCAGTGCATAAGGTAAACGACTCATATATGTTCATTTACTCACAAGATCTTAGTTACAAGGTTTGCCACAAATCAAAATTTCATTATTAACTGGAAATCTTTAGATGCTGAGTAAGTGAGGTTTATTCCCTCTTATTGCAGACGATGAACTGGTGTATGTGTGTTACTTCGAGGGAAATTGCAGTGAAATGTTGGATACGGTCAATGACTTGTGTATTTCGGGCTTAAAATTGTGAATGTCTTTTTCGTGGAAGAGAATTGGAGGGAGTATCATGTACGTAAACCATTTTAAAATGACTTGTGTATTTCAGGCTAAAATTGTGAATGTCTTTTACGTGGAAGGGAACTGGAGGGAGTATCGTGTACGTAAACCATTAGTGACTTGTGTATTTCAGGCAAACATCATGAAGCTTGGTGATGGGCAGTTCCTAGAGTCATGTGAGGAGGTCTCCAAGCTTTATCCAAACATTAGTGTCGACACAATGATAATAGACAACTGCTGCATGCAGCTCGTGTCCAACCCATGGCAGTTTGATGTGATGGTGATGCCCAACCTGTACGGTGCGTATCTCACTGCTACTGGTAGTGGTGCTGGTGGTGGTGCTGCTGCTGCTGCTACGGGGTGGTGTTGGTGGTGGTGGTGGTGGTGGTGCTGCTGCTACTGCTGCTGGTGGTGGTGGTACTGCTGCTGCTGTTGCTGCTGCTGGCAAAACTATAGATTCCTATTTAGTATATAATTATGAGCATGTTTCTACTTCAGCATATCTGTCCATCAATACAAACATAATTATCTCTATGATAGTACAGACATGCTCATAATATGATGACATTCTACCTTATCGGTCTTGTGGTTTCATGCCGTGCGTTTTTGGCTGTGGTGGCATGCAGGCAACATAGTGGACAACCTGGGAGCAGGGCTGGTCGGCGGGGCTGGAGTCGTGACCGGAGAAAATTACAGCCAGGATTCTGTCATATTCGAACCGGTGAGTCACGCCGCCTATTACCCATTATTTGCACCAGGGCTCGAATTAACCGACGCCACCGACGGCAATTGCCGTCGGTGCCCCTATCAATTGCCGTACTGCCCCTGAAAATCCAACCCGACCGACGGCAGTCACCTGCCTTGCCCTTTTGTGTAATTGCCGTCGGTGCCCTTTAATCTACTGCACTAGTTTCGTTTTTAGTCAAAGTCAACATAACACGTGCGCGTGCGTGCTGTAGTTGCAATGATGAGCATGAAAACCGATAGTCGCAGGAGGGAATAATAACAGCATCGGATAATTATTCGCTCCTGATAGCGGGCATGTAAAATTTGTTATTACTGTACTTCAATTAGCAGAGGAGGTACAGGGGTCGGTGTTACGGTGTAAGTTTACATGGGGGCATATTGTTTTGTACATTAAAAGCAAGACGATGTTGATGTACTAATTTGTTATGAGTTTTCCTTTATTTTACAAAAGTGCCTTGGTGCCCTTCTCAAATTTTGAGAATTGCCTTGGTGCCTTTTAAAACTGCTTCTGCCCTTCCATTTTAAAGAAAATTTAAGGCGATTTCTCACATGCCCTAAGAAAATTGCCTTGCCCTTCTCGTCGCTTAATTCGAGCCCTGATTTGCACTCTCTCTCTATTACTTGTACTCTCTCCCTTATTTGCACTAAACTTATTGGCTGCATACTCTGGCATCTGTAATATCAGCAATCAAAGCAAGGCATTACTCTAGTGCAACTCATCCCTGTGCTCTTATTCCCCTCCCCCCCCCGCTCTGAGGTACTATACACAACCATTCATGGTCCGAGACATGCATATTGACACGCGATTTCTCGCCATGCCACCAGGGGGCGCGGCATTCGTTTCAGGAGGGTGTCGGGCGTAACATTGCGAACCCGACTGCGGTACTGCTGGCAGCTAGCAAGATGCTGGACCACCTGAACATGCACGAGTATGCCAGCCGGCTAGCCAACGCCGTCTACAACGTCTTCAAACTAGGAAAGGTAAATACAGCCTGACCTGTATATAACAGCCACTCGAATGCGAGTGTCTTTTACACACAGGTGGGTGTTCTATAGAGGGCGGCATGTGGCTCTTAACTGCGGCCTGAAGTTGGACTATGTTGCGTGGTATGCTTGCTAGCATGTCAGATTGTATAAGTAGGAAATCGTATTTTCCAGGGAGTCAATATTATAGTATACATCATACAAGACAGGAGATCGTAAACAAAATCTTTTCAGAATTTCTAAATTTTTGTCTGAATAAAAGATCAAAACATCAAAACGTACCTGTAATATATATATATATATATATATTTCTATTTTTGTATTGCAATCTTTTTTTATTTGTATTGGGTTTTATAGGGATGCTAGCTAATGTTGTTTCCAAACCTTGCAACAATGTAGCTAGAGATGTATAGGGAGCTTAACTGTTCAGCTGGTCTGTAAATCTTGTGCTATTCCCACTGCAGTATCTATGTTTTTCCACCATAGTGTTATCCCTCCACCTCCCCCCATTCATAGGATGTGGAATGTTATTTTACAAATGTTTCAGAAGTCTGCATGCCTTTGATCCAGGGCTCGAATTAACCGACGGCAATTGCCGGCGGTGCCCCTATCCATCGCTGTACTGCCCCTGAAAATCCAACCCGACCGACCGCAGTGACCTGCCTTGCCCTTTTCTGTAATTGCCGTCGGTGCCTCTGCCTCTGGCTAGACTGGTTCGCGGCCGCACTGTTTGTCGCAGAGCGTGTACATTCTCTAGCAGAGCGTGAGGCCGGATACCAGTCTACCCGGCTGCAAAAACAATAACGTGGTATTGCTGCCAACCGCTGCCAGTAGACGATCGATAAATAGTGCACCTGTGTATGCCCGTGGTAGAACACGAATATTTAAATGCTGCACGCCCGGACTCGGCCCGCGTGCGATTTAAAGCGCGGGAAATGACGCTCGCGCAAGAATGGCCAGTGATCTGTACGGTGTGTAGCTTGCTAAGTGCAGTAAATTTAGAGAAATTTTAGTAGAATTCATACGATGACACAAAGTTTTCCATAACAATGGCCTTGGTGCCCTTCTCAAATTGTCAGAGTTGCCTTGATGCCTTTTAAAATTGCCTCGGTGCCCATCCATTTTAGAGAAAATTCAAGGCAATTTCTCACATGCCCCCAAAAAATTCCCTTGCCCCTCTCGTTGCTTAATTCGAGGCCTGCTTTGATCATAGGTGGCTTTTTATGCGTAGATGCCATGTCTGTCAGTGGAGCATGACTATTTAAGGACTATATGTTATTAGTAGTGAGTAATCGACTAATCGTATTATATGTGTGTTGCTTTAGGTGCGTACGCGGGACATGGGGGGCCAGGCAACGACTACAGACTTCACCAACGCTGTGCTGGACACTATAGACTATGACGCCGCAACCTAAACACCGCAACTAATTAGATGCTAATTGTTTCGTCATGCCTGCGTTGATTACATGCAATATTGATAATCGATATCGGTGATTGATATCGGTGGGAAATGTGAAGAATGGTGTTCATATCTTGGGTTCATGCCAGTGCATGGCCTTAAAAATAATCATGCATTTCAGACGAGGGAGCAATTAAAGGGGGGACTGTAGTAGTTGTACAAACGATAAGCATTTGGTTCGGGATTGCACCATCGATTTCTATTATCAACAGGTTTGCTTGCTTGTTCATTTTCATTGTAGATAGTCTGAACCGAAATGCTTTGTTCAATTTCACTTGTCATCATGTCATCTTAAGTGCAATTTTCCTGAATCATGTTCACTTGTCTAATTGCATCATGGGTGCTTTTAGAGAGCTGGACACAAAAGCTAAATAAGAGATAGCGTGCCATAACACGCTATATTTCAATGTCGATATATGAATAATGTTGACAGGAAACCTCATAAAATTGGAACAATTATTTCACAATATATATATATACTACTATATTTATTTACCTTTAGAATTTTTATTTATATATATTAAAATTATGGATTTAAGTATTAATTTAGTTATTTATGGTGTTGTTTTATCGTATCCTAAAGCTAGGCTAATATGTTCTGAAACTCGATCGTCTGTAGACCTTTTCATCACGACCTTTGAAGAACAGTCATGGTTTACTTCCAATTTGAGTTGCAAAATGTGACCATCAAAATCTGCATGCATTGCATGCATCAAAATCCCAATGCACAGAATGCATTGAGAACTAATATTGGGTCTTAAAATTAGATTTCTCCATGCTATCAGTATCACGTACTGTAAACGACCGAAATGAAATTGGTTTTTAAAGCCTGGAAAATTTGTCCGAAATTCCTAATATTTTTACGAAGACGAGCAAGTTTCAGTGAAAGAGGCTATCCTGTCTTTGTTGGCATTTTCCTGCACTGCATAGCTGGTTAGTGGCTGTGACATGAGCTTGCTGTGCTGTGTGAACACACCACGAAGGGGAGTTCAAAGCGTCTCCCGTGGTCGAAGTTCTTGGACTTGTAGAAAGTAGCTGAAATTAATGTTTGCTTAGTCGTAAGAAGTTGTTGGCACACTTTGTCGAGTTTGCAGGAGTTGGCGTGCAAACATTTTTCGCAGATTTATTTCAGTGAAAATGTCTTTATTTGTGTTGAAACCAACTTGTATCGACTAGGTTAATCCAGTAATGATTTATGTTATTGGCATGCTTGTGTGTTTAGATGAGTGGAGAACGAGGCAGAGCAGCATGTATGTAACTTAAATGTAGATAACGCGGCTTGCCGTCCAGTTAGCTCATGTTCGGAGGAAGGAAGATATGTAGTCTAATGCTCAGGGCTCAGAAATGAACTTCGCATGTTATATTACGACGTTATATTACGACGATATAATAATACCAGGAGTGAATAATAATAGATAATCTATTATTATTCACTCCTGACACTACTATGGGAATCTTGTGCTATAGATTGTTTAATTGATCAATTAGATCTCATTGCGGCGATCACTGCTATGCTGAAACACACGGCTACTGACGCACGACCATGAGCTTAGTGAGTGTAAAAACGTATTGCTCCATAAAAAACTATTTTATGTGTGCCAAGACTAATACGCGTGCTAATTGTTGTTTCATAAGCTTCGCGATTTATGTTGCGTACACTGTACTTGTTAATGTAAATTAAAGTATTGAGCGAACATTTTTTTAGATTTGTGAAATCATATGGTTTTGCTTTTAGATGCATCTGAATCATGAGCTATCTCTTTGTTCTACATGAAATCCATGCTACCAGGCTATGTATGCCAATCAAATTCAAAACCATATTTTATTATTTATAAATGATTACTTAGTGAACAAACCGATCGTAGACGAAATAGGAATGGGATAGATTTTGAGCGTAGACGAAATGGGAGTAGGCGAAATGGGTGTAGGCCAACTGGGAATTTTGCTGTAGGCGAAATGGTAGTAGGCCAACCGGGAATAAACCGTACAAGCGAGCGTACGTGTGTGCATGTACAAGCGAGCGTGCGTGCGTACATGTACATATACAAGCTAGCCTGCGTGCGTACATGTACAAGCGAGCGTGCGTGTGCACATGTAGATATACAAGCGAGCGTGCGTGTGTACATGTACAAGCGAGCGTGAGTGTACATGTACAAGCGAGCGTGCGTGTGCGTAGACGTCACGCACAGCACCCGCCCCGCCCCCGCAGCATCCGTTGCCGTCGGCGACAGCGCGAGGTTGGCCGGCCGCGGGAGACGCGATGGCGTGCCGGGTTTTAGCGGTGCGGCAGCGGCGCCACCCGCCGGCGAACTCGCGGGGATGCGCGTCTCCGTGGCAACAGGACTTCCCTGCTGCTGCTGCTGCTGCTGCTGCTGCTGCGCGGTGTGCTTGGCGATGCGGCTCTGATGCCCCGCTGGTTCGTGCGGGTCGGTGGCGCCCTCTGTGGGCGTCTGGGAGGTTCGAACGGGTGCAGTCTTGCCCACAGAGCTTCTCATCGGAGCAAGGATCAGCTCCAGGCTGCTGAGCCCCTTGTTTGCGCTCGCCGCCGCCACCTTGGGTTTCTCGCTCGGCATCTTCTCCGACGCGACGGTGGCGCCACACGGCGGCGGCAGCGCGCCACGTCCCAGCACAGTTGGCTTCTGTACGGAGTGACCGCCATGACGCACTGGAGCGGGCAGCTGGCTGGACGCTGCCCCCCGTTGTTCCCCGGGTGCCCTACAGGAGGCGCTGCCGTCATTAGCTTCCGCGCGCTTCGCCTCGTGTCCGCCAGATGTCGCCGGCGGCGCGTCGTGGCACGCAGGCTGCTCGACCGTCGCCGTCACCGTGATGCGCGCGGCGCCCCCTGGCGGCGTCGCGGCCGCGTTGTTGTTGTTGGCGTTGTCGTCGTCGTCGCGACGCAGGTTGTTCTCGTGCAGAAACGCGCTGTACTGCGCCGCCGCGCGCCGCTCTGTGCCGGCAGGGGGCGCCGGCGCGTCGTTGGCGGGGGAGCGCGGGGCGGCGCGGGGCGAGCGGGGCCACGTGCCGAAGCCGACGTCCGGCAGCTCCTCCTTCTTCGTGGAGAAGTGTCTCGGCATGCCGAGCGTGTCGTGCGACGGCTGCAGCGGCAGGTACGCATAGTCAGAGTAGAAATCACAGTGCGCCTCCTCCTCCTCCTCCGCCGCCGCCGCCGCCGCCTGGATGCTGTCGTCGTCGTGCGCGACTCCAGCGCGAGGCAGTGTGTGATGCACGACAGGGGCCGCCGCTGCTGTCTTGCTCGGCGAGAGGCTGTGCGGCCGCGTCGGCGTTGCCGCGGGCGACGACGACGACGTGTTCTTCGGCTTTCTCGGGCGTGGCAGGGAGCCGAACAGGCGGAGGGTCGGCCGCGGGCGTGTGCGTCGCCGCCCATGATCCGGGTTCACAACAAACTTCGCCGCACGTGCGCCAACCGCGCCGTTAGGCGGCGTCGCTGCCGCAGCCACCACGCCATTAGGGGGCGCCGCTGCTGCCGCCATGCCTTTAGGGGGCGCCGCTGCTGCCACCATGCCGTTAGGGGGCGCCGCTGCTGCCACCATGCCGTTAGGGGGCGCCGCTGCTGCTGCCGCCGCCGCACGGAACGTGACGTGGCGTGGCAGTGAGCTGAACCGCGCTGCGGCGGCGGCGGCAGGCGACGCAGCGGCCGTTCCTCCGTCCGACACCTCCACGGCAAACTCAGTGCCGTCCTCGGACAGCTGCCGCGCCATCAGCAGCGCGTTGCCCGACAGGATGATCGACGGCTTCTTCTTCATCGTGCTGGCGCCGCCGGACGCCGGTCGCCGCGGCGTGGTCAGCGACGACCCCGTCGCTCCGGGCCCTCGCTCCGGCCGCGACCACAACACCCTGTTCAGACGCTCCGACGACGACGCGTCCGCCAGCGCCCTCTGGTGGCGCGCGTCGAACAGCGCGTCGGTCGGCAGCGGAAGCTTCGAGAACGCTATCGGCAGCTCGAAGTTGATCGCCGGCGAGCGGTCGGCGGACGGATGCTCGATATGTACAAGCGAGCGTGCGTGTGTACATATACAAGCGATCAAAATAGTCATAACAAACCGATCGCCGGTGGTTATAAACTTTCGTGACTCACGGTTCTAGTACCTAGAGATATCTGGCTATAAATATTATTTGAATTGTGTGTGGTGGATTGGGTTTTGAAAAGTATATAATCATTACTCAGAAGTGCACCAGATGACACCTGAAAATCACAATTTTCTTGGGGGGGCATGCCCCCAAACCACCCTAGTATGCTCGGCGCCTGGGGCGCCTTCGGACTGCACACCTTTACCGATCACCGCAGGAACATTCCGCATTTGGAGTTCACCTGCCATAATAGCAGTGCATGAATTTACCTTGGTAAGTTTTTATAGTTAATGTTCACCCATCCACGATACCTGTCGTGTTTTTAAACCTCAAACCAACCCAGTCACACTTTTGATAACGCTAATTTTGGATTACACTCGGTTACACAATGCCAAAACAACAGGAACGGTTTTGGCATAAAAATGACTAGAATCAACAAAACTGGTCCATTCCATTTCAATTTCCATGTTTTGTGTGTGTTCGAACTCAATTGCACGTGTGCTTTTTTATTCATGCGTAGACATGCGACTCACCAAAACGCAAATAAAGAAAGCTTCCATTGTCATTCTCATATGCTGCATATATTTCTAACCATCTCATCGTTTTCATTCGCATTTTCTACAATTTTCACAACGATCGTACGCATATACTTATAATTACACGTCCTGATCTACACAAAACGTTACGATTTTGTTCGCCGAAGTTTTTACATTACTTACATAACGTCATATCAAAAAGATTGGTAACAAATAATGTGATATCGTATAAATATGTACACGTCTAAACTTCTACAAAACATAATCCAAAAATGGGTACAGTAGCAAAATAGGAAATAAACGTAGGTCGTAACAACTCTGCCCCGAAGCCACGATGCAAACGAACAGTACACTCAAAACTGCATTTTCGCGTAGATGACACAAATTTGCACGTCGCGCGTAGCTTCATTCTGGAATATATAATTCCAGCCGCTCCCTCAGCCATACACGAGCCTCCATACACCAAATCAGCTATGCCCGATACGGTACCCACGATTAAGTCCCCGCCTTGCACGATACACGTATCTTCCCTCCAGTAAGCCTGCATAGATTCCACAGACTTAGCTCTATACGCCACGACAGCTGCCTCAAACTACATTCATATAGCAGCCATTTCATTTTCCATCGCCACACAAGTTGAGACACCACGGACAATGATGCGATTATATAAGCAGCGCTCCAATCCGTATGTCTCGGCGAATTCTAAGCTACGGATTCCAAGTTTCTAATTCTAAGCATGTACTGCAGAGCGCCCTCTGGCGGAGTCATGGGTCCCACCCTCCCTCCCAACGTCCCAAGCATGGGCACTGACCGTTGTCCACCTGACCGTGAGAAGATGGTGGCTCTCTCATTCGAAACGTATTCTTAATTTCTGAAGTATCTTCGCGAATCAAACAGACGCCCCCTGACGAATATACCGAAATTGTATACAAAAACAACAACTATCTCATTAGGTGTTGCGGTCACAACCCTCGTGTTACTCGAGCAAATTTTTGGTATAGCATAAATATAAAGAGGTATATCCATATTCGTTGCCTATTCAATGCATGTCATCCACACGCGCAAACGCGCACACACACACACGCGCGCGCAAACGCCTGCACGCACACACACATGCGCACACGCACACGCACACGCACACACACACACATGCACACGCACGCACGAGCACACACATTCACACAAAAACACGCGCGCGCGCGCACACGCACACGCACGAACGGTGATCACAAATATGGGCCGGATAACGTAGAACACCGACAACAATATTATCAATAAACGGTGACATTGGCCCGATACGAAAGAGAGCGAAAGAGAGCAAGAGAGCAAGAGAGAGAGAGAGAGAGAGAGAGAGAGAGAGAGAGAGAGAGAGAGAGAGAGAGAGAGAGAGAGAGAGAG